AAAAGTCTTAAAGATCGACTGGCTGGTGAGGAAATGAAGAAGAAATTAACTGAACTGCAGAAGAACAGTAGGAAAATCAGAAGACCAAAACTACTGCACACACTTCTGCTCAAAGCCTAATTGAGAGCTGCATCGGAGTTCGGCGCAAAAACGCGTTTTTGCTACAGGCCTGTTGTGGAGCTGCAATTTGCAAGGCCCGAACGTGAGAATTTACAAAGTAAGTCCGATTTTGACTTAGAGGTCAGGATACAGCAGGATCGAAGGACTGATTTCATGGTTTTAGCCAAAAACTATCTGGTTGATCAGTCTACCAGTTCCCAGATGGCACAAAACTGCATGAATCCGGAATTCCGGGCTGAAGCCACAGGCCAGCATATGGAAGAGGCTGGAAACCAGGTTTAAAGCATTTGCTCCAGACCAATTAGCAAGTCGATTCGCCAATAGCTTGCCTATTCTCAACAGAGTTACATATTTAATTTAAATCTGGTTATGAGAAAACAGGTCTGGACATAAAGATATGAGCTGATTTCACCTCTTAGAACTCGCACAAGGCCACCCGAAAAAAAAAAGAGGTCCGATTTTGACTTAGAGGTCACGATACTGCAGGAAATTTCAGCTTCCTAACTTTCGCAAGTCTGGATTTATCCGGAAAGAAATACATGCAGGCGCACATAAACACACAAAAATGCACAAATAAACAAACAGACAAGCACACATAAATATATGCAGACACATAAATACAAATTGTATATAGGGAGTGATTTCATGCGTTGTTTTTGAATTACGCAAGAAAAAACGTAAATAAACGATCAACAAACCTTTTCCAACTGCGATTCGAGCTGTAGCCGACGTTCATTTTCCATTTTACGAGTTTCATACACTTCTTCCAGTTTCTTCTTCCGTGCATCTTCTTCAGCAATACGACTTTCCAATTTCAGTAATTCCTCCGGTGACAGAGTAACTGCTGTGTGTCTGATAAATTTAGCATCTTTCGAAACATTTGCAGCCATTCAAAAAAAAACAGCCAAAACTCAAGCAAAAATATCGTCCCGAAAACTACTAATTAGAAAAGTGAAATGAGAGCTACCTTATTAAGCATCGTCCAGTGCTAATTCCCATGCTTTCTAGTGTTGTCGATTTCAATTCCGCTTCTCCTCGATACTGCAAATTACGGGCACATAGAGAACGTCCAAGTCACAGATATTAAGAGAACATTGCTACAGAAACAGAACTGCACGCCCAGTAAAGCCCTTTTTTCTTGACTAATTACGAAAATTACACCGAGAAATTTGAAACAGCACAAAACTTCCACCCAAAAGCTGTAATCTGAAGTAAACATAAAAGAGCGGAGAACACTATTTAACACCGCAATCGCTATCCCTGTTCGTCCCAGCTGATGATGAGGGGGGAATAGTAAAGCGCTGTCCTTTCATGCCACATTTTTATGCGTTTTTGTATTACCAACAAAATGCAGAAAAACATATGTTGGCAGAATGTGTGTTTGTGTGTGCCCCAGTTTTAATCTTCACTATCAACTCATCAACCACAGAAGCTATGAAGCCGATATTTCATGAAGATCTCCATTCATGTACAACTTAGATTTCAAATTTGCCCTTGAAGCACACCTTGGTTTGGCGTACGCGCAACTCAAGGTGTGATACCACTGGCACTCTTTGGACTCAATAATTAGACTTATCGGGAAGCTGTGTTTTTGTAAGAATGTTTGCCGCCCATAAGTAAGCAATGAAATAAGCTTTCATGCACATAACTACCTCGCGTTCGGACACATCAAATGCTCAATTTACAGAACTGTCGGATCTTTTCCTCTCGATTAGCATGCGTACAGCTTAATGGGGCGAAATGTTCTAGAACTTCTCGTCGTGTTTATTTTCAACTTGCTTTTACTATGTGTTTTGCGCTATACAACAGCAGCACAAAATGCATATTGTCACGCCCTTGTCCGTGTGTGTGTTTTTGTAAACATCTGTGTATGTGTGTGCCAAAGTGCATTTTGTCTTGCATTTCCAACTCGGGAACCACAAAAGCTAGGAGGCTGAAATTTCAGCAGAATGTTTCCCGTCCACGTACGACCTCGCAAACTTGAATTTAATCCTCGTGTGCTCGACAGTACCACGCCCCGGGAAAGTTTCGGCGAGGAAAATGGAACCACGGAAGCTAGGAAACTGAGACTTAAGGGAATTTCCTCTGATCATGTAGTGACATTGACTATGTCATTGACGTTTTCTAAGCACTCCCACGTCATTTAGAACGGCAACAAAACGAAGCCTGCTGTAAAACGTAGTAAAGGCGACAACTACAACCAGCATATTAGTCTTATTTTCCTTCTTTTCCTTTGCTACTCTTCTTCATCTCTTTCTAAGCATCCCGTATTTTACGTTTCACGTGATGGTTAGGGGGCTGTACTGATGAATTCCACCCCTGACCACAGCATTTACTTTCTGCGTTTACAGTCAAGAGATGAAACACAAACAGACCAATTTTCACATATTTCCTATCCATGACTTTTTTGTATGACAATGTGTTTTAACTACATTTTCAACCCTACTATTTCCCTCGTCATTCCAATTACAAAAATCACGACACCCATTTTTCAAATTCAAGTTTTCGGCCTATCTATATTTTAAGGCTTACATCGTTCTACACTTCATCATTTACGGTCTGACTTACTCCCCACGTTATAAATATAAACTAATTTCTACTTCTGTTACACATGTACGGTCTTCAACTGGTAGTTAACTAATTATAACACTTATAGCCCCGGAGAAGAATTGGCGGGAAAATTGCTATTTCGGGGATCACGAATGCGAAGAAGCTGAAATTTTACAGTAATTCCCCTCCTCCCTCTCTCCTCCTCCCTCCCCCCACTACGACTCAAAACAAACTTAAATGCAGTCTTTCCCTGCGCCTCGGTACTACCCACGGCCCGTGCAAGTTCTGGCGAAAGAGGCTGAAATTTTAGGGCTATGTGCCCTGCCGTACGACCCAACAAGTTTACACTCAGCCTTTCCGTGTATCTGGTATTACATGTCATTTCGTAAAAGTTTTCACAGAAAAATTATCTCGGAAACCAGAGAAGCTAGGGGCTGGAAATTTCAGAAGGCTGGAGTCTCAGAAATTTAAATTTAACTCTCAAGTATGCCAAGGTCTCAGGTGCAACCACGTGAAAGTTCTGGCGCGAAATTCACTTTGAAGCCTGCAAACTAGAAGGCTGAAATTTTGGAAGGATGTCTGCCGTCCAGGTTTCCAAGCTCAGCTCTCACGTATGCTACCGTTTCATGTGACGACACATCAAATTTTTGAATGGGTAATTTCGCAGCTTAGGAACCGGACAAAATATTGACTATTTTTTCACAGACAAAACTGCAAAACAATGAAAACCCCTTAGCAGGCAAACGTCTGCTGGATGGAACTGCGCAAAACACATGATCGCATCAGCTACCCTGATGTATGTGGCTATTTATTTTTGTATAAATGTTTTCTCCTAGTAAAATTTTTCATTTGGGAAGCCTAAAAAACTTCCCATTTTCTTGGGAAAATTAATCGCTTTTTCAGCACGCTTCCAAATTATGTAAACGATAAATACTGCACCTCCTATGACAATAAATTATGGAATAACGCAACATATCTTCTTGATTTACTAAAAATATATGTCTAACGCTCATTCTCACGGAAAAGCAGTCTGAACGGAAATGAAGTCTGTATGATTTCTGATAATGAACTGATTTATAGACTCATGAATAGGATGTTCCAGAATTTTTATATATTTTAGCATAAACCCCGATAAATTTTTTCAAAATATGCACTACTCTGAACGAAGAACGATTTCTCCAATGCTTCAATTTTAGGAGACGGTTTACCAAGGACATCGCCT